CATCTGTGTAGAGATTGGTTCAATACATGCGGAATATTCAAAGAACAAGAAAATATGCATGCCATGTGCTTTAATTGAAAGAAATTGTACAGGATTAATATAATAATTTATGAAGATTAAGAAGGAGAGAACCCAGGGCAAATCTGCCAGTGGTATCGATAAAATTTTATCATAAAATGAGCAAGGACAACATCCTTTTGGTATTATTCTGGGAGAGAAGTTCTCGTTTTTATTGGGGGGCTGGAGTGGAGATATTTTTTATTTCAGGGAACAATTGGAACGGTTCGAGCAACATTACGAATTTTGCATTTATTAATAACGCATCATGACGCACTGCGCCATCTGATATTGAACGAAATGCTGCAAACAAACGAATTGCTCTGGAAGGGTACGCTTTTTCCCATCGCAATGCAAAGAGTAGTACAATAAAAAAATTAAGATTTACAGCTTATGAGAGTGAAGAGGGCTGTGGAAGAACAATTGATTTATCTGCTTGGTACGCATTTCTGGACTAATCCTCCTCCTTATTGAGTCGGACCTTCGGTACTTCCTACTGTGTCACATAAGCGGACCCAGGACGGTCTTCTGGGGGGAGAGGGAATTTTTCAACTTCCCTTCTTCCTTCGTCACTGCGCCCCTCGGCCTCCTCCCTCCTCGGGCAGCTCCCAACCCACTTTTCAGTCGTCGCGCTACCCCGCCTCCCCGGCTCCTGCAAATGGACACTAAGCTGAGACTGACAAAGCTCCTGGAAGGAGGAGACAGGGAGTACCGATCACACTTTTATATAGTAAAACAATGCTACCCAATATGGATGCAATGAAACTGCAACATGTGTGCATCTTCAAGAAATATAGTATTTCCTTGGACACCTTTCCCATCTTGTTACCCTTTTCCTCCTTTTCTTTGTTTTCTTCTTTTCTTGATATTTTCTCTTCAAACTTTAATAAGTAAAATCAGTTATGATGTGGATTATTCAGTCCACTAAGTCGTATAGATCGTGCCTTTAAAACGCGAATTGCCTACAGTGAGAGGAGCAACCAGTAGGATAAATCGAACGGATTAAGATAATTTTGGAGAATTTCTATTGTTTTCTTCAGTTCATTCTCTCTTAAAGTCATTTTTTAGCACTGCATCCTTTTCAGATATCCTCCCCCAACTGTTCGCACGTCTCAATCATCCGGTACGTGGTGTGCGTGATACGCTGTGCACAATTCTGGAGCGAATTGCAGCCTCGGCACCACATGCCCTGTGCTATCCGGCAATTGTTGGCGCTACACAGCCAATTGTTGTACACTGTGGCGATGGAGGTGATGATGATGTGGACGCGGAACGAGTTGATTTTGCGGAAGTAATCAACGAAGAGAAGAA